TGACGTTTGACGCACGCAAGAGCGCCTGGAAAGCACGGGTGCGGAGGGCGCAGGACCCCATCGAGATCATCGAGGTGCCGTTGTCGCCCCCATCGCAGTGCAAGGAGAAGTGCCCCACGATCTTCGCCCGAGGCTACGCCGCTGGGGCGCTGCCAGTTTCGGGCTACATCGACGCTGCGATGATCGAAGCGACGGCCGCCACGTTCAATTCTAGAGGCAACGGGGCGACAGCACTTGCAGTGCCAATGTTGCACTTGCCCCGCGGCGCCCTGGACTGCCACTTGCAGAACGTGGCGAACGTCTTCTCGCGGGGGCTCCAGCGGCAAATGGGTCGGCGAGACCGCTTGCTGGATGCAATGATGATGGGGGGACTGCCGTCCGTTGACGGCAGGCGCTGCGGGTTACCCTTCGCAGGCGCCATGCGCGGCCCACGCCGTCTTCAGATCGACGACGGGCGCGTGCAATTCAGCGCGAGGCCGTCTCGCAGCGATGAGTTCTTCGCCCTAGCGTGCGCCAGCGCCGATCAGAGCGGCAGGGGCGCTGATGCAGCTGCGCCTGCGCGGCCGCCTGTGGCTGCGCCTGCGCCGCCGCTTGCGGCCGCTGAAGAGCCCGCGCCGCCTCCTGCGTCTTCCGCGTCAGCGTCTGCGCCTTCTGCGACTGATCTTCTGGAGCTCACGGTCGAGAGGGGCGCGAAGAAGAAGCTGGGGGCCGGGCTCGAGAAGGCGAAGGCGAAAGTGGAGGGGGGGGGCGGCGGCGAAGGCTAAGGCGGAGGAGGCGACGGCGGGCGCGAATATGGATGGGCAGCCGCAGGCGAAGCCGAAGGCGAAGGCGACGGCGAAGGTGCAGAAGGAGGAGAAGGCGATTGCGAAGAGGAAGGCGGATGCAGCGAATGGAAGCGCTTCGAAGACTGAAGTGGCTCCGGAGGACGCAGACGAAACGGTCGCCCAGGGAAGCCCGTGAAAGTAAGAAGAACATGCGCGCGCCAGCCGAGTCGCTCAAGCACCATGCGCCTGCTGAGCCGAGTCTGGAGACCAGCAAGGCGCGGTTCGACGTGGAGCACTCGCGCGAGAAAGTGCAAATGCGGATTCCGAACAAGAGCGGCGGGATGCTGCACGAGGGCTTCCGGCGGGGAGATGCGGGGGGCCGGGCGTTCATGACGATGGCCGCGGCGATGTCGGCTGAGGTCTCAGACGGGTGCAAGTGATGCTGGAATTCAGCGATATTGGCGGAGCGATCGGGCCGCTGGTGGCCTGCGCTGCGCTGCGCAGGCATAGCGTTAGCGCTGCTTTTCGCCCGCAGGGAAAATGAATCACCCCGCCGCCCCGTAGCGCTTGGCGCTTAGCTTTTAGCGCTTAGCCTGGGCCCTTCATATCCGCTTCTCTGATCCCGAGCGCGTTGCGCTGTCCTCCGAGTCCCAGCTCTTTCTCACGCCTGCCCTCTCCTCAATAACATCCACCCCTTCGCTCCCCCGCATCCCTTTCCTCGTCGCCGCCGCCAGGTGCCATGGGCTCAGGAGCACAGCGCAGCGCGCTCGGGAGAGATGAGGTTATGATTACAGCGCAAAGCGCTGGGAAGGTTGCTTTTCTGCACTCTTGCAGCGCAGCGCAGCAAGCGTATTATAGCGCAGGCGCTAAGCAGTGTGCATATATATATATATATATATATATATATATATATATATATATATATATTATATATATATATATATATATATATATACAGCGCGCGCTAAGTCTCTGGTAGGCCTACGGCTGCGCCTCATCTAGATGCGCCTCCGCGGGTCGGGGTTCTCTGCCAAGAACTGAACCAGCCATCCTTGTTTGTCCGCGTCATGCTTGGCATGTCTGGCCGGGGCCCCCTGGGGCCTCCGGGGACTTCCTGGGGTTTCTTGGTGTTTCCTGGCGTGTCCTCGGGCCTCCAAGGGCCTCGTGGGGCCTCTTGGGGCGTGCTCGGGGGCCTCTTGGGGGGCTCGTCGTGCCACTTGGGGGCCTTGGCGACGGAAGTTTCGCTCTCTTGGGCTCTTCCCTCTTGGGCGACTGGGGCCTATCATGGGGGCCCGTTTAGGGGGTTTGTTGGGCCGTTTTGGGGCGGTATCGGGGGCCTCTCGGGCCGTCATGGAGCGTTAGAAACTCGAACGGTGAAGATCCCAAACAGCATGCTTCAACCGAATGAGCAACAGTTAGTGAGTTTGGCCTCTCGGAACCTTCTTGGGGCGGCTCTTGGAGGCATCTTGGGGCGCCTTATGTAATTTCTCGGCCGACTGGAGACCATCTTGAGCGTCTTGGACCGATCGTGCGGCGATTCGGGAACCTCTTGGAGCGTCTGGGGGCGTCTTGGGGCCCTCGTGGGCTAGTTGCGCTACCCGAGGGAATCCCCGGGAATCCTTGTGAAACTGGTGGCCCAGGCCCTCAATGAAAACCTATAATTTCGTTTTTTTCTCATGGATGCATGAGAATGGGCCTTGGAGCACTCCACTACGTTCTGAAGATACGGTGGCGGATTTACAGATGTTACAGATGGGAAGGTCCTTGTGAGAGGAATGTTGCGGATGCTACTGTTGCTGGCACTGGTGCTACTGTTGCTGCTGCTGTTGCTGCTTCTGGAACGGCTGCTGGTGCTGGTGGTGGTGTTGTTGTTGCTGCTGCTGGTGGTGATCCTGCGGCTCGTGGTGATGCTGGTGGTTCTGCTTGTCCTGCTGCTGCTAGTGCTGCTGCTGCTGATGCTGCTGCTGCTGCTGATCCGCGGGTGCTGTTGTTGCTGCTGGTCATGCTGGTGATGTTGATGCTGTCGATGGTGGTGCTGCTGGTGCTGCTGCTGGTGTTGCTGCTGTTTCTGCTGCTGCTGGTGCTGGTGGTGGTAGTGCTGCTACTGCCGCTGGTGTTGTTGCGGTTGCTGTTGCTATGGTGGTGGTGGTGTTGCTCATGCTGCGGTTGGTGCTGCTGCTGCTGCTGCTGGTGTTGCTCATGCTGTTTCTGGCGTCGGTACTGCCAGTGATGCGGCTGGTGATGCTGGTGGTGCTGCTAGTGCTCCTGATCCTGCTCCTCCTCGTCCTTTTCCTCCTCCTCCTCCTCCTCCTCATCCTCCTCCTCCTCCTCCTCCTTTTCCTCCTCCTCCTCCTCCTCCTCCTCCTCCTCCTCCTCCTCCTCCCCCTCCTCTTCCTCATCCTCCGCCTTTCCTTCTCCTCCTCCTCCTCCTCCTTCTCCTCCTCCCCCTTCTCCTTCTTGTCCCCTCTCGGTGTTGTGTGTAGATGGTATCGTTGGCCGTTCGGGCCTTGGGGGGTACGCATATGCATGCAGAGCAACTGTATTGCCGATGTGTTGCCGAGGCCACGGTTCATAGCATGAGTTTGGTTATTACAGGTCGGCTTGTGCGGTGTTCTGGGTTTGCATAGCGATGTTTTGACTAGCGATGACGTGGGATCACTAGTGCTGGCTAGCGGGAAAGGATTTCTTTGGTGCTGTTGTCGATGTTGGTGCTGCTTCCGGTGTTGGAGGTGATATTCTTGTTGGTGGTGCCGGTGGTGTTGCTATTGTTGCTTCGTTTCGTGTTGCTGCAGGTGCTGGTGTTGATGGCGCTGCTGATGTGCTGCTTCTACTGCTTGTGCTGTTGTTGTTGTTGATGTTGTTGTTGTTGTTGCTGCTGGTGGTTCTGCTCCTACAGGAGCTGCTGCTAATGGTGGTGCTGCTGCTGCCGGTGCTGCTGCTGGTGCTGCTGTTGCTGTTGGTGCTGGTGGTGCTGCTGCTGTTGCTGCTGCTACTGTTGCTGCTGGTGGTGCTGCTGCTGTTTGTGCTGCTGCTGCTGCTGCTGGTGCTCGTGATGCTGGATGTGCCTGCTGCTTCTGTTGCTGCTGGTGCTGCTGTTGCCGCTGGTGCTGCTGGTGATGCTGTATGTAGTAGGTGTTGCCGCTGGTGCTGCTTCTGTTGCTGCTGGTGGTGCTGTTGCTACTGGAGCTGCTGGTGTTGCTGCTGCTGCTGGTGTTGCTGTTTGTGCTGCCGGACCTGCTGCTGCTGCCGGACCTGCTGCTGCTACTGCTGCTGTTGGTGTTGTTGCTGGTGATGTTGCTGGTGTTGCTGCTGTTGATGTTGCTGGTGCTGGTGGTGCTGCAATTGTTGCTGCTGGAATTGCTGCTGCCTGCGTGCTGCGGCTGCTGGTGCTGCTGCTGGTCGTGCGGGCAGCGCTGCCACTGCTCCTGATTTTCGTACTGCTGGTGTGGTTTCTGCTGGTGCCACTGCTGCCGTTGCTGGTATTGCTGCTGTTCCTGATGGTGCTGCTGCTACTGAAGCTGCTACCCCTGGTGGCTTGTGCTGCTGCTGGTGCTGCTGCTGGTGCTGCTGCTGCTGCTGTTGCTGGTGGTGATGGTGGTGGTGGTGGTGCTGCTGCTGCTGCCAGAGCTGTGTTGCTGGAGCTGCTGCTGATTATGTTGTTGCTGATGGTGCTGGTGTTGGTGGTGCTGCCAGTGCTGCTGCTGGTGTTGATGCAACTGGTGCTGATGTTGCTGGTGCTGCTGCTGCTGCTGCTGGTGTGTTTGCTGGCTCTGCTACTGCTGGTGCTGCTGCTGGTGCTGCTGGTGCTGCTGCTGGTGTTGCTGGTGCTGTTCCTGCTGCTGGTCGGCGTTACCCCTCCTTTAGCTTTCTCTTATCATGGTGCTGCTGCTGGTGCTGCTGCTGCCGCCCGTCCTGCTCCTGCTCCTGCTATTGCTCCTTCGTCTCTCCTGCTGCTCCTGGTGGCGCCGGTGTTCTGCTGCGGGGGCCGCTGCTGCCGCCTTTTCTCTCTCTCTCTCTCTCTCTCTCTCTTTTTCTCCCCCGCTGCCTCTCCCGGACCCTCTCCCTCTCTCCCCGTGGTTGCGAGAGCGTTTTGATTAGCGCCCTGAAGCGATGCGCCAGGAGGTGCCGCTGGAAGGTTTCTCCGAGGGGCTTAGGCGACCCTCCTCCTCCGCTCTCCTCCTCCTCCTCCTCCTCCTCCGCCTCCTCCTCCTCCTCCTCCTCCTCCCCTCCTCCTCCCTCCTCCCTCCTCCTCCCTCCTCCTCCTCCTCCTCCTCCTCCTCCTCCTCCTCCTCCTCCTCCTCCTCCCTCTTCCATCTCTTGCTCCCCCTCCCCCTCCACCTCCTCCACCTCTTCCTCCTCCTCCTCCTCCTCGGGTGGGTCGCCTACGGCCCGGGTGGAAGCCGTGCAGCGCGAGGAGGTGCCGCCTTCCCTCGCTCCTGCAGGGTGGAGCGCCCGCGGTGCCCCGGGACTGGCCAGCAGCACACAGTTTCTCGCCATCGGAGCGCCTCGAAGGAGAGAAACACATACGCCAGATTTCGCAATAAAGGGAGGGGGGTCTCATTTCGGGAGGGACAGGCCCGACTTAACAGTGGGAGCTCGACCACAAGAAGCCTTCCACGAGAAGCCCAACTCTCAGACCCCACGACGTCCATTGACTTTTGGCGTGGCAACGTCACTCCTGCCATCATGAAACCATGGAATCCCACGAAACCCAGGGCACCCTGGAGGCAAGCAGGGTGTTTCTTGGCATGGGTATCCACTGTACGCCAGATTTCGTAATAAAGGGAGGGGGGTCTCATTTCGGGGGGTGGTCTCTTCCAGGCTATCTTGGAGGGCCTGGGGGGGTCTGGGGACGATGTTTTGGAGGGTTCTCCCACGGGGGAGGTCTGAAATGGCTTGTCTTGGAGGGTCCAGACCCCCTCCCTTTTATTACGAAATCTGGAGTACGCCATAAATCATATATATTTTTGGGGCGCTCCGCGCGGATTTCTCAGATCTGCGCTGGCCCCCCCCCCCTGGCGGCGCCTCCGGCGCTGCCCGTGGCGCGCTCCGCGCGATCGGGAGGGGGATCCAGCGCAGCTCCGGGAAATCCGCGCGGAGCGCCAAGAGTTTATGCTCATGCTGTTTTTCTTCTTCTGTCATCGGAAAGCCGCAACCGTCCAAGGCGGAACGACCCGTGCGGTCTCAGTCAGGCCTGCAGGGCCAGGTCGCGGGCAGATCCCTTCAGGGAGCTCCAGAGCGCACTCGCAGCGTTCTTGGAAGCTCTGGAGCCCGCCGCTTCTGCTCCGCTCTCTCCCTTTCGCCTGTGTCTGTCCACTGCGCAGTGGCAGAAGGCGGCCCCAACACAGCGCACATTTTGGTCTCATCACCCGCCACCCTGAGATCGGGGGTGGACAGACCTCCTACCCTGACACGTCGATTAGTGAACCGTCCGTTTTCGGTTCTCGAGAGGGCGCCGTGGCCGTTATTTTCCAGGCTTGCGCCCGCCAGGTTTGGGCCCTAGGTCGTTTTCACTAAACCACGTTTTACTGAAGCGAGGTCTGTCCATCCCCGATGAGAACGGGCCGGAGCATCTCTCGCCCAGGTGCCTCGGTTCCCACCAGAGCTCCCCCAGCGAGCCACGCCCCAGCCAAGACCGCCCCCAGAGCCCTCGAGCCTCGCCGTTGCCGTGTCGTCGAGGCGTCGCCGCCGCCGCCGCCAAGGCGTCGTCGTCGAGGCGTCGCCGCCGCCGCCGATGCCCCCGCCGCAGCGTCCGCCCCCCCGAGCCCCGAGCAGGGGGGGGCGCCGCTGGAGCGACGCGCGCGCCACAGGAGCTGCGGGGCAGGTGTTTCAGGCACGCCCCGGGCCTCCAAGGGTCCTAGATGGGGTCAGAGTCGAAGGAGGAACAACTGCGTACTCCAGATTTCGTAATAAACGGGAGGGGGTCTGGACCCTCCAAGACAAGCCATTTCAGACCCCCCCCGTGGGAGAACCCTCCAAAACATCGTCCCCAGACCCCCCCAGGCCCTCCAAGATAGCCTGGAAGAGACCCCACCCGAAATGAGACCCCCCTCCCTTTATTACGAAATCTGGAGTAAGCAGAAACTGTTGGGGCTCCACGCGGGTTTCGGGGATCTGCGGAGGACCCCAGTCCCTGGTGCGCGGAGCGCGCCAGTGGCGGTGCCAGAGTCGCCGCCAGTGGGCCCCAGCGCAGCTGCAAGAAGTCCGCGCGGAGCTCCGAAAGTTGAATGTCAATTCACTTTGTGTTCGTCCTCCATCCATCTAGCCCTTGGGGTCCGAGTAGATGTGGTCGTGGGATCGCGCCACATCGCCGATGCATCGCCGATGCAGCTCGGTGTGGAACCTGATTTTCTCCACGCCGACGGCGCCGATGCATCGCCGACATCGGAGAGGCATCGGCGATGTCTCGTCGATGCGGCGCGATCCATCGACCCCATGTACTTGGACCCCCATCTAGGAGGCCTCTGCACACGCTAGCACGGATTGTGGATCCGTGCATCCCGCGGGGCCAGCGGGACCCCGGGCATAAACAGAAGCTTTTGGCCCTTTGCGGCGCCTCCGGCGCCGCGCAGATCCAAGAAACCCGCGCGGAGCGCCAAACGTTTATGTGTATGGCGTTTTGTCTTCTTCGAAAACAAGACGTGCGCGTGCTGCAGACGCCCTGGGCCTGCGAGGAGCTCCGGCGCAAGCGCGAGGCGGAGGCGGCCGCCGAAGAGCAGGAGGTGGACGTGATCAAGACCGCCGCCTGCCGTCTGCTCCTTGAGGGCTCGACGACTTTTCTACACTCGACTCGCGGGACATTACCCTTAAGTAAGTCGGGCCTTTCCCTCTACAGGAGGAATCATCAGAACTAGCCAAAAGTAGTATGGGGACGATTAGTTTGACTATGTTTGAGCATGTGTTTCGTATTGTTTGACAATATTTTATTTTTCGCCCAAAATCCCCCTGTAGGGGGACATGCCCGACCTAACTAACCTGAGAAAAAACCCAATCAGTGGATGGTTTGAAAGGGCCCACCGACATCTGCCCGGAACCAATGACCAGGAACCCGGGAACCTGGAGCCGGGAACCCGGGAACACAGCCGGCTACCAAAATCGACGGGAAATGTTCGCCAAATTTTTCAATGTCCGCTAGGACCCCTTCAGTGCAAGCACTGATTGGGGAAAAATTTGGGAAAGTCCAGGTACATCGAGATACCTCTGGGTGGACCGAAGTCCAAAGATCTCCATCGGACGAGCCTAGACCGAGATGCATCCGTTCCACAGCGTGCCGGAACGCTCTCTGAGAAGGCCGCGGCGCCCGATGCATCCATCCTCCAGCCCGCCGGTTATCAGAGATTTCCTATTTATATCGTTCCGACAACGATTCTGCCCTCGTTTTACTGTAAGGAATATCTGGAGCAAATGGTGGACGCTCAAGAGCGAGTCGAATGACATCATAAGTCGCCTGGCCCTGCATGAGTCGTCGTCGCCGCCCGTGCCGTCGGCTTTGTCGCTCGCCGGCGGAGGCTTCGAAGAGAGGGCTTTTCGGCCACCGTCGGCTCTGGGACCGTCAGGAATAGGCCCCAGACCTCGAACGGATAAAGCCGAAGTCAAGACATGAGGTTTTTCTAGTTTTTTGCGGGCAAGATTTCTATATCCATATCCAGGGCGTCTTGGATTTTTTTATGGAAGCGGCGCCACAAGGGCGATGCGCAATGGACATGGAAAGACATCGAGCCTCTCGGGGGCAGCTTTTCATTCGTATGCTTGGCGCCTCGGTTTTCTGGGGAAGGGAGCCCGAAACTTCAAGCTGCAGTGGATATGGACAGAAGTATTGCCTGCATTTTCGGCCTCTGGGGGCTTCCGCCAGCCCTGGGAAGAAGGTCGGGACTTCATGGACCCTGTATTGAGGCTACTCGACGCGGGGATCCCCACATGTGCATCTCATTTCCTGGCCCGTCCCGCTGTGAGCGTCTGGGTGTAAGAGCGAGTCCGCGTGGACGACGGACACGACGACTGCGACGACGGCGGCTACGTTGAGGGACAGCCACGACGACAACGACTCACAAGAGAATATGTCTTAGTGTGAGTGAGCGTGAGTAAGCCTGAGTATGAGTAAGTCTGAGTGTGAGTGAGTCTGAGTATGAGTAAGACTGGCTGCGATGACTACGTAACCTTGAGTCTGAGTACTGGTTATCTGAGTGCGAATGCGACTGAGTATGAGTGAGTCTCAATGTGAGGTGATCTGAGTACGAGGGTGTCTGAGTATGAAAGAATGTTGGTGGATATGAGTGTGCGAGAGAGGCAGGAATGAGCGACCAGGAGGAGGAGTCAGGGAGGAAAAGGAGGAGATAGACTGGGGGAAGGAAGTGACGGAGTTGGAAGGCGACGCGTCACACTAATCACAAGAACCCCATCTGAACCTCGGATTTCTTTTGATGTTCAAAGAGAGAGAGAGAGAGAGAGAGAGAGAGAGAGAGAGAGCGAGAGAGAGAGAGAGTCAGAGGGAAAGAGAGAGAGACAGAGCGAGAGGGAGAGAGAGAGAGAGAGAGAGCGACCGAGAGAGCGGTCTTTCCGCTGCCGCCGGCTTCCCCATGCACGCTGCGCGCTCCAGGGGCCGTCGGGGGCAGATCCCTCGTGGCTACCGGCCATACGTTGGAAGCCCGCAGCCCGGGAGGGGTCTGGGGTCCCTTCGTCGTCGGAGGCGGAGGCGGAGGCGGAGGGCGGGGACGCTCCTGGGGAGGAGGATCGGTATCGTTTAACCGATCCCCATCCCCATCCCCATCCCCTTCGAGACCCCCACCAACTTACCACCCCACTGGAGATGGGGATCGGTTAAACGATACTCATAGGACGTGGTCGAGGGCTGAAGCAGAAGACAGGTCGGAGGCGGAGCCTACCAGCGCCGACCCACGAGACCGACATGTGCTCCCCCCCGAGAGTTTTCGAGGCTGTTAGGTTTCACCTGAGGGAGTTCCACGTGAGGTCCCAGTGGTTGCGCCCGCATGCAGCCGCCACCCCACATTGGCGCACCCCTCACCAGTCTTCTGGCCACATGTGGGAGCTCTATCTACTTGAGGCCCCAGTGGTTGTGCCCGCATGCAGCCGCCACCCCACTTTGGCGCACCCCTCACGTTTCGTGGTGTCATAGGCTGCTCCACCTAAGGACCTGGTGTTTGCTCCCGCATGCCGCCGCTGCCGCCGCCCCACTTTGGCTCACCCCTGATACGTTGCGTGGCCCCATAGGGAGCTCCACTCCAGTGGTTGCGCCCGCATGCCGCCGCCATTCTACTTTGACACAACTCTCACGCGTCGCGTTGCCACACGGGGACTTTACCCAAGACCCCAGTGGTTGCGCACGCATGCCGCCGCCATTCACTTCGGCACATCGCTCGTATGTGTTGTGGCCCCATAGGCAGCTCCACCTAAGGCCCCGGTGGTAGCGCCCGCATGACGCCGCCACCCCACTTTGGCGCACTCCTCATACGTTGCGTGACCCCATAGGGAGCTCCACCTAAGGCCCCAGTGGTTGCGCCCGCATGCCGCCGCCAACCCATTGGGGCGCTCCCCTCACCCGATTCGTGGCCCCACAGGGAGCTCCACCTGAGGCCCCAGTGGTTGCGCCCGCATGCGGCGGCCACCCCACTTCGGCATAGTTTCGTAGTCATTTTGCCAGCCCCTTCCCTGAGTTTTCACATATCTGGCGGTACTCGCAGCTGCATAAGTTTCGGTTGGGTCTTTCGCCAGGCTAATTTCCCATTTGTATTCTGTTCGTGCTTGTAGACTTCAAGATCAAACAACTGTGTAAACATCTTCCCTACAAGGTCTGTTCAGATTTCTTGGATCAGCGCTGGGCTCCCCTGGCGGCGCCTCCGGCGCCGCCCCTGACGCGCTCCGCGCGTCAGGGTTGGGGTCCATCGCCGGTCCAAGAAACCCGCGCGGACCTCAGACAAATCAATCCGTTAGGTTACAATACCTGTGAGGTTTCATTCGGCATCGGCGGTGGTACACCCGTTGTCGAAATCCAGCCTCATCCTGCCCAATCCCACTCAATTCTGTTCGATCTCATGTAATCCGGCTTCAGTTGATTCCATCACCGGCTCAATCTGGCCGGGTCCGTGTCCACGGCCCTCGAATGTTGTGCGATGGCCTTTGATTTTGTTTTTCTACGACATACCCCCAGGAATTGCCTCCGAATGTTCTGAGCCGACGGAGCCCCTCGACATTGCTCGGTCGTGTGCATCTTGTCTCGTTGAGGACCAGCGAGGCGCATGCTCCATCGTCTTGCGAAGAGGTAAACGCACGGAACCGAAACATGCGCGTCCGAGCGGTGGCGAGACCCCCACCTTGCCAAGTTTCGGCGGCGGGCGAGGGAAGAAGTGGGAAGGAGAACGCCTTCTCAGAAGGCGGAGGGACTTCTCAGAAGCAATCGCGAGTTCTGAGAAATTATCTGCGTCTTCGGGGAAGGCTTAGGCTTAGAAATCTTCTCAGAAGGCTGGGGGGCCCCCGACCCTTCTGGAAAGGCCTTCTGATCTCCTTCTCGCTTCCCCCCTCGCTCGCCGCCAAGAGTCGATTCGCGCACTGCCCTTCTTTCACCAGAGACAATATCACCACTACCACCAGCTGGGGGGGGGGGGGGGGGGGCCTGTCCCACCCTCTCGAGCTAGTGGCACCTCGTTGTGGGCATGCCTCCAGAGAGTGCCCAGAAGGAGGTGCCACCAGCTCGAGGGGAAGGAGCGGCCACCCCTGTAGCTGGTAGTAGTGGTGCTTCTATCTCTCCTGATTTGATGGGCCTGTTTTCCATCACCACCATAAGTTGGAGGGGGGGGGAAGGAGCTGGAGTAGGAGGAGGAGGAGGAGGACGGAGGAGGAGGAACCCCTCCCCCTCCTACTTCTGGTGGTGGTGCCCGCCCGGCCTGGGCCCGCATTCCGCCGCCCCCCCTGGAAGAAGTGGACCATCGGACCTCAGAGGAGAAAGAGGTACCCATACCACCTCTACCCTCCTTCGGTTTCCCCTTTTCGGGCCTCCTCGGAGGCCCTCGTCGCCACCGTTGGATTCGCCTCAAAATCCGGGTCAAAGCGCACCCCGGGAGAGGTCCGGGGAGTAGCGGTGTCGGTACTTTATGGTCTCCCCAGGACCGAGGCAGCGGGAGGGGGAGGAGAGGAGGGGAGGGAGGAGGGGGGGAAGAAAGGAGAGGAGAGGAGAGGAGAGGAGAGGAGAGGAGAGGAGAGGCGAGGAGAGGAGAGGCGAGGAGGGGAGAGGAGAGGAGAGGAGAGGAGAGGAGAGGAGAGGAGAGGAGAGGAGAGGAGAGGAGAGGAGGAGGAGGAGAGGAGGAGGAGGAGGAGGAGGAGGAGGAAGAGGAGGAGGAGGAAGAGGAGGAGGAGGAAGATGAGGAGGAGGAGGAAGAGGAGGAGGAGGAGGCGGAGGAGGAGAAGGAGGAGGAGGAGGGGAAAAAGGAGGAGGTGGAGGAGGAGGAAGAGTTTGCGGAAATTGCGATGATGCGCGCCCAGGTGCGGTTCGTGCCAACTCATGAACGTTTAAGCATTGGTTAAGGAGCGCAGGCGGCAGGAGCGGCTAGCGCAGCAGCGGCGACGGCTTCATCCATGGCCATGCCGTGTGCTGTTCGGACATCTGGAGTTAGGCCGGCGCGCCCAGCGCGGGCGCGGGTGACCAAGCCTTTGTGAATCTTGGCAAGGTTCTCCTTGTCCTTACGTGTGATACCACTGCACGGGGCGGCGAGATGGCATGGGTCT